TTCTACAGCTTCCTCTCTGAAAAGCAGATGGCGAGCCTTGGGCTTTATTGAATTTGTGTTTGTGTATGTGATGCATTTGATTGTAGCCGGAGGGCAGCTGCCTGGCCCAATAGCAAATTTGGCCCATCAACGAGGCCGAAACCTACTTACCTGTAAGAAGCTGTTTGTTCCAGGGAGGCGGTTTTGTCTTCGGTGGGTGGCAGAAAGCAGCCTGTGGCTGAATGGTCTCCTTGATCAAGGCCCTTGGAAGTGTCTCCAGTTAGGAAATCCAGCTGCCCTTGCCCTATCCCCCCTCCCCTCCCACTGAGGGTCCCACTTCCAGGGATTTATACTGAAAAATGATAGGTCCGAGGATGAAGGATAGCCTTGCACGAGCACCGTGCACCACTGCCCCTCCGAGTTCAATTCGAAAGCAAACAACCCAAATATTTACCAACAGGGAGCTGGTCACATCGATTGGAGCACAGATATGATGGAAAATCACTGACACCTGCCACAGCGGGGACCAACCTGGAAGACATGAGGCAGAGTGAAATAAGGCAGCTAGCCCCACAAGGGCAGATCCTGTATGATTCTGAGGACCTTGGAGTGGTCAGATCCGTGGACATGGAGAGTAGAGGGTGAGGCCAGTGGCTGGGGGAGGGGAGGGGTCCGTGTGTCATGGGGATGGGGCTCAGTTTGGGAAGATGGGAAGTTCAGGAGACAGCCGGAGGGGACGGCAGCATGACAGTGAGAATGAGAATGTGCTTTGTGCAAAACGAATAAAAGTTTAAAACCTATTTCAATGGTGAAAAGGGATTCTGGGGGCTCTTACTTGCCCTGTGACCTATTTGGGGGCGTGTGCCCTTGAATAATAACAGAGAGCCCACAGTGATGGATCTGGGCAGGCGTCACTCCCCCTGCGTGAGAGCAGCGAACAGGGACAGAGAGGTTAAGTCCCGTGTGCCTGCCTCTCCACCTCTATCACTCTCACGGGAGCAAGAACCCGTTCCTGCAGGTGACATTGATCTAAATGTCGAGGGACAGCCATCCCCCAGCTGTGACCCTAGTACCCCTGGACACAAATGTGGCTCCTCAGCATCATCGTCCCCCCGGGCAAGATGTTGGATGTGGTCCGCGCTGAGCCTGCAAGGTGCTGCCACGCAGCATCTCTGATCTGATTTCCAAAGTCACCTGCCCTCATGTGGGCATTGGGAGGCAAGGGGCTGGGGTGCAGGCTGCTCCGACCCCGGGGCCCAACTTGTGTTTTCTGGGCTGAGGCCAAAGGAGTTGGGGGGCAAGCCAGAGAGTCCTGGGATGGGTGGTTCCAGCCCGATCCCTGGTGTTCTGAGCAGCTCGTGGGAGTCGTCAGTGTCACTCAGGCTGTGGCAGCACCAAGCTGCTCAGGACCAGGAAGGGACGTGAGGGATGTGTCACCAGGTTGCCAGCCTGGTCTGCAGGTAGCCCGCAGAGAGCCCTTCACAGCCCTGTGTCCTGCTTCTTCCATTGACTAGAAGGCTGGACTTCCTCCCTGAGCCGAGGGAGCACGGCCCGCAGCTGCCCGGTGGTCACTGGGAAGTGGCCTGGCCTGGCCCCTGTGGCTTACGGCAGCCACGCACCCAGCTTCAGATCCCCCCACTCACTACAACTGGGGCCTGGGGAGCCAGCTGGAGCCGGCCTCACGTGGCAGAGGCAATGGGGGATTACACGCCGAGGATGACAGCGTCGGAAAGATGCGGAAAAGCAAAGGGCTTATTAAAACGCTGAAATTGGTTCCAAATGAGGTCAGCCATCGAAACGCCTTGGAGGGGAGCCAGGCACTGAGCAGCCAGCGGTGTTTATTTCCTGACAGGGTGCCGGCGACTCCCTGGGCGCCACCCCCCACCCATCCTGCCTTCGGAGGGCAAGTGGCACCGAGACACCAGCGCCCAGCCAGGCAGGCATGGGAACATGGGGTCAGAGGGCATGCAGGAGGGGGCTGTGCAGCTCAGCACTTGAGGTGTCCATGGGCCCCCCAGGGCGGGCAGGTGAGTCCCCGGATGCGATGCGGCCAGGCCGGAGGACAGCTGAGCGCTGCTTCCTTAGCTCGGGTCGAATTGCTTGTTTGTGAAAATCCATTAATGCAAGGAACGGCACATCGCGGCAGAGGCCCTGGGATTGGCCCAGCTCCCTCCCACCCCCTGCGCCACCCGGAGCCTCCCCGGCTTTTCTCCCTGGTTGCATTTCTCACCCCAGTGTCCCTGAGTGTCCCTTCCTCCTGACTCGGGCAGAATGCCCCTGACCTTGGCCACCTCCTGGTCCGATACCCTCCCCCCACCCCTGCCCCTTGCTAGAAGTGCACTCTGGGGTCCCTGACCCAGTTCCTGGCCCAGCCGGTCCCATGGGCAGATTGTGACCTCTCTGAGGCTTGGGCTCCCCGCGCCTGAGGACAGTCACAGCCCCGGCCCCCAGGCTGGTGGGGATGAAATACAAGGAAGCTGGGTGGGCTGGGCGTGGACATGCTTTCCAGCTCCTGCTGATGACTATTCCTTGGTAATTGTGATTTCTGTGATCGGCCGCCTCAGCTCATGGGGAACGCTGGCGCTCCAGCCCCGTTCTGAGCTGGAGAAAGTCAGTGCTTTCGGAATCCTGGTAAAAATAAACGTGTGTACATAGCACTCTGCTGTTTACTAAGAGACGCGCAGACCTTCCCTTGTTGAGGAGGGGCAGCTCCGGGCGTCTGTTGGTCTCCCCGTATCCAGGGAGGAATGGAGGTGTGCTCGGCGGCCTGAGGTCCTGCTCGGGGCTGACAGTGTGTCCCCAGGGCCCCCGACCCCAATCTGGGCCCTTGCTCCCAGGCCGTGGGGTTGAAGGCAGCTGGAAGATAAATTACTGCCGTGCCCGACTCCTCTGGTGACCTGGGTGGAGAAGTGTTTCCCCAAGGATGCGAACGCAGAGCGCTGGTGCCCAGGGAGGTGCACCATGAGGGCCTCAGGGTCTCCCTGCCCCAGAGTTGGGAGCCGCTGCTCTTTCTGCCTGTCTTCCAACTGGAGCCACTTTGCTGGGTGGCACCAAGGCCGCTGGGAGGCTTGCCCACCACCAGGGCACTCCCGCTTTGCTGGCACAGACACATGTGTGCACCCAAGAAGGCAGCCTCACTCCCTCACCATGGTCACTCCCTGATCCTGGTGGGCAGTGTCTTGGATGCAGCTTGATCTCAGATGCCAGACATCTACTTACAGGGCAGTTTGGGGAAGCCTTCGGGTGGGCCCACCTGTCTTCTGTGCAAGGCAACTTTGCCTGAGGCCCCCCAGGACTGGTCCTGTATCCAGACCCCCCGGGGGCCCCCAACCACCAGAACACCATCCTCCCAGACTCCAGGCAGCTTGCCTGCCACCCTCCCAGGCCCAAGGGCCTCCCTGAGCCCCAACTTCTTCTTCACTCTCAGTGTCTCTGACCTCTCTGGCTCCACAGCACCTGATCTGGTGGACTGTCATCCTTGCACATCTGTCCCCAAGCCTGGGGGTGGGGGGTCTGTGCTGTCACCCACCCTCCTTTCCTGTCTCATACACTCACTCAGCACTTACCTGTCTGGCCCCTGCTCTACTGCCGGGGCTTGGGCCCTTTGGGGGATGGGGCAGATGGCCCTGCACGTGGACAGTGATGCACCCAGGGCCTTATGTGTCCAGCTCTCGCTTGCCTGGGCCCGTGGATGGGCCTGCGGTAGAGGGGAGGGCTCCGTGGCCTTTGTTGTGTCTTTTGCCTGGTTTGGCTTTGCAGGGTGGCCCAGCTGCTGTGAGGCAGGGCCCAGGGAGGGCTGGAAGGGTCCCTAAAGTCCATCTTTGGGCAGTCATTTCTGCCTAGGGAACAGGGTTTGGAGCCAAACCTGAGCCCAGCGCAACCTCCTCCAGGCTGGCCTCTGCAGACACCTGAGAACTAAAAGTTGGGGGCCAGCCGGTGACATCCCTGTGTTCCTATGGCTGAGTTCTTGGTTTCTCCAAAGAGGGGAGGAAGAGGAAGAGGAAGGAATGGGGGGAGGGAGAGACCGAGTCAGGTGCCCAGGGGGAGGTGCTAGACCTCAGAGCAGAGGGCAATCGCAGAGAACTTTCTGGAGGTTGCAGCATGAGTAGTCAGTTCTCTCTGCAGAGAAGGATGAGAGTGAGTCGGGGTGCTACACCAGGGCTATGAGCCCCCATGGGACTGTGCAAAGGTCCCTGTGGTAGGTGTGGGAGAAATGGTGCTATCGGCCAGCTGGCCTGGGGGCCTTCAAGTTCAGGCTGGGTCCATGCTAGGCTAAGGGATGTCACAGGTCTGGGAGCTTTGGTGACAGGGAAGCAGGCCCGTCACTTGCACCCTTTTCTGCAAAGCCCCCAGCAATGCATCCCGTGCCATCTGCCCCCCCCCCCAGCAATGCACCCACTCCTGCTGGAGCAGCCATGGTGCCAGCTGGAGCGTGTGAGGAAATAGACAGGCGCCCAGAGTGGAACAGCAGGCCATGGAGAGAGTGTCTAAACACAGGGACTATGTGGGGACCGTCTTTTATTTTTAGTCTGAAACCGGTCCACCCTGCAGCATCGTAGAAATGGCTCACTGGGCTGGGCCCTCAGCAGCAAAATCTCATTACTCACCGTCACCTCGGAAATAAGCCCTTGGGGCCTCAGTCTGCCCGTCTGCAGATGGAGCTGCGGGGACAGGACCAGCCCTCCTGCCTTGTGGTCAGCTCGGTGCCTGGCCGGAGGCATCTGGAGGGCCTTCTGGGTGCGGGGAGGGGCCCCTCTCCAGACAGCTCTGTAGAGACCACACGGGGGCAGGAAATCAGCCAGTCTGCTTCAATTCCCCCTGATGATGCCCATGTGTCATAAGTGCCAATTAGGAGAGCAAGAGAGGCAAAGGCTTTGCCCCAGGGCACAGGCTGGTGGGAGGGTCACCTGGACAATTGAATTCCCCACCAGACAAATGTGATTAGCAGTGCAGCCTGGGCCCACCCCCTGGAGGGCCAGGACATAAATGGCCCTGTGGGGTGGCCGGGCTCACGCGCAGCCATGCAGGTCCCCAGCCCCAGCGCGCGCGAGGTAGCCTCCATGTACGGCACGGCGGTGGCCGTCTTCCTGGTCCTCCTGGTGGCCGTGCTGCAGGGCTCGGCACCCCCCGAGAGTCCCCTCCCCTACCGAATCCCCCTGGACCCCAAGGGGGACCTGGAGCTCTCCTGGAACGTCAGCTACACGCAGGAGACCATCTATTTCCAGCTCCTGGTGCAGAAGCTCAAGGCTGGGGTCCTGTTTGGGATGTCGGACCGTGGGGAGCTGGAGAACGCTGACCTGGTCGTGCTCTGGACCGACGGGGACAAAGCCTATTTTGGGGTAAGCTGTTTTCCACCCCGGGGCTCCTGGCCTTGTCCCTCCTCAGCCCCTGCCCAGCCCTCATCCTATATCCCACTCCTCCCACCTTGACCTGGCCAGGGAAGCTCTCCTGCCTCTCGGGTCCTGTTTCCCCTGATCTCAGCGAAATCCGTGCTCCGAAATCGGGGAGTCTGGGGGACGCCCATCTTAGGACAAAGTGGGAACTAGATGCCTTTTGTGGTCTCTGACCATGAGGGCAGGCCCCACCTCCCCCGCTGGCACCACCAACACCCAGCACACCCCTGCTGGCCTAGGGGTTTCATAGGCCCAAGCGCAGCACCTGGCATGCACACCCGCTGCCCAGGATGCAGGACTCACACACCTGATTTGCACACGAGGGTGAAGCAAGCAGGTGTACCCCCACCCCAGTGCCCTCGCCGCATGCAGAACAAACATACCAAGCAGACCTGAAACAGGATATGCTCTTCACTCCCCGCCTCCAAAATTGACCCCTTTTCTTACTGCCAAGTGCAGAGAGAGAGAAGCTTCCCTCCAGACCAGAGGTGGAGAGGCCTTGGGGTGAAGGGAGGTGCTGGGGGGGGGAGTCACGTGCCCTGAGCCGCCCCTCCCACCTTTTGCCCCACATGGGCCTGGCCTCCAGGGCCTCTCTGGGGATGAAACCCACCTATCTGCACAAAAACAGACATGGGAGGGTTAAACTTTTTTTTTTCTTTTTAAGTTGGGGTCACTTTCTTTATGTGTGAGCCGAGGGGCTCTTCTTTACACGACTTAAACGGGGACTCAAGCTGGGAGTCAGGGCTAGTGCAGTCAGCGCCTGGCCCCAGGACTCGGTTTCTTCATCTGAGGAGTGGGGACAATAATCCTGCTCTACCTTTTTTTGGGCTGTTGTGAGTTCAGGTGAGCTGACAATGGCTGGTATTTCTGGAGCTTAACTGTGCTCTGTCCAGCCCCCAGCACAACTCAGCAGGTGCTAGAGCCCGATGCTTGGGGCCACCCGGGTAAGAATGGGGTGCAGTTGCCAAGTTGGGGTCCAGATCTGGTCTGCTGGGCAGCACGATCGCCCCCCACACAAGGACGCTCAGTGGCTCTGGCAGTGGGGGTGGGGGTGAGTCACAGCCAAGAAAAACCTGTGGCAGCCCCAGCTCTGAGCCACCCGCCACTCCCAGAGGAGCTCCCGGGCCCCTGAATCAGGAACTCTAGCTCCTCTTGGGGCAGCTTTTCCTGGCTGCCAAGAGAGCCAGGGTGACTTCGTCCTCCCGCATACAGCAAGATTAATTTGCACAACAAATTCCTGTGCAAACAAATGTCAGACTTGTTTTTCCTCTGTTAGCCATATGTTCAACAAATATATTCTAGATTTCCAGCTGAAGTAGCAAACTAACTTTCTGCCTCTGTTTGAAATGAGCCCTGAAAATTAGTAGTGGCCCGGAGCAGGAGCTTCACTGTCGTGCTTTCCTCTAGGGGAAATTTTGCAAAATCTTTTGCAGGTTTTTTGTTTTGTTTTGTTTTGTTTTCTCAAGGAAATGAAGAAAATATGCTTCAGGCCTGGATACAGGGTTAAAAAAAATTCTAAGGCCAAAGGGTTGTGGTGGTCCTGAAGGGAAACAGAGTTCTGTGGTGGGGGTTCCAGGGGATCGGGAGGGTTCTTCCCTTCCTCCCAGCATCCCTTGCACAGGCCTGAAGGGCCCTGGACAGCTGGGCCTGAGAGTCAGGTACGCAGGAGCCCAAGCAGTGAGGGGATGGGTAGGGGAAGGCCGAGGAGGGCCACATCCGCTGCCTGCTAACCCGCCCCAGGTGCATTTTCTCCCTGGGCCTCAGTTTACCCTCTCTAGGCAGGGCCAGGGCTAAGCGAGGGGAGCAAGATGCCTGGGGCACAGTGTTTATGATGGAGCCCACTCGCAGGGGTGTGCAAGGTCTGGGTGGGCACTGGGGAGAGACTGCCACCTTAAACCCCCAACTGGTCTCTCCCTGGCTTTTCCCATCTGGCCTGGTCTCCCTGAGTCCCCTTTCGAAGGCTCCATGTACTGTCACGACCCCTCCCTCTGCAGACCACGGGGAGCGGTACTTGTCCAAGGCACCCATTCCCAGTCATGGCACCTTCTTAGCAATACAGGTTCCTGGGTCATGCCCAGAGGTCTGGAACCTGCCTGGGGATGGGTTCTCCAGGTACACTGGCGTGTCCAAGGGCTGAGTCTCCATCCCAGCTCTGCCTCTCGCCTGGGGGCTCAGAGGTCTGTGGAGAGATGTCCCTGTCCCTAACCAGCCACCATGAATCCTGGCTGGCATTTGAGAGCCCTGCCTCAAGGAGCAGAGGAAGCAAGTGGGATTCGAGCTTGACTCAGCCATCTCCAGACAGACTTGGAAAGTGAGAGTGATCCTCTCCAACCCCAGGAAGACCCTCGGGATCCACAGAGCTGGGAGCCACACTGTGAGCAACCAGCCTGGAGCTCCAGCCCTACTTGCTTGGCCCTGGTGTTCAGGGTTGTAACCTGTCTCTGCAGGATGCCTGGAGTGACCAGCGGGGACAGATCCACCTGGATTCCCAGCAGGATTACCAGCTGCTGTGGGTACAGAGGACCCCGAAAGGCCTATGTCTACTCTTCAAGAGGCCGTTTGGCACTTGTGACCCCAAGGATTACTTCATTGAGGTGGGTGGTGGCCCTGTGTGCTCAGGAGATTGTAGAGCACCCCTACCTCCTAAGGCGGCATCCCTAGGCCCCTTATGCACAGAGAGAGAGCCAGGGAGGGATCTTAGAGGCGCTGGGTGGGGACAAGAGACCAACTCTGCTGTCAGCATCTGGTCTTTCCAAGCACTCCCAGTTGACATGTAGTCGAGATGTTTCTAGATGCAAGTCCTGCCCTGAAGCCTCTCAGATTGGGACCACAGTGATCTTGCCCCCGACTCTCCTTCTGGTTCATCATTTCCAGGTGGAATTCTGAAAAGAGCCCAGGAGGCCTGGTTTCGCAAACTACCCTGTTGTCAACGGGCTGTGAGGCTTGGGCCAGGTCCCTTCCTCCTCCAGACCTCCTTGGTTGACCTGCCCTATAAGGTGCAGGAGAGAGTGGGATGAGCTGTAAGGCCCTGGCAGCTCTGTCTAGGAATTCAGAGCCACAGAAGACCTGAAAGACCATAGGCTTCCCGCACTGCTCCAACACACCTGCTCAGGAAAAACAGCCCAGCTTGGCCTTGATGGTAAAATGCTTTTAATTTCCCGGTGCACTTGGATGTTGGTCACTGCGTGTAATTTTTGCAATATGACAGTGACCAGCTGTCCGTGTGCCAGACAAGGAGATTGAGGCCCGACAGAGGGGCTTGCTCGGGGCCCCATGGCATGGGGCAGAGCCAGACCCCAGGTGTCCTTCCCACAGCTCACAAAGTCCTCATTTCCTAACCCACCGTCCCCGTGGATGAGGCAAAGATAGGCAGAGGACCCTCTCCAAGAATTTTGCTTGGGGTGTAGCCACTGCGCACAGGCTCTCAGCCTAGAGCCTTGGGGCTAGGGGTGGGGGTGCCTCCCTCCTGAGGCTCAGATGTATCCTCTGGCGAGAGGGGGTCACAGGGGCCCCAGGTTCGGGCAACCATAAACTCAGAGGGCCAAGGGGGTGCCCACCATGAACACAAACACACACGGACATGCACCGGTGCCCAGAAAACCACGAAAGGCATTTTCAGGACCACATCCCACACACAGGTACAGGCTCACATTCCTGGCAGCACGGCGGGAGAAGGCCAGGCCGGACTCCTGCGTCCTTGGGTCTGTCTGTGACCTCTAGCACAGCATCCACTGGAACTTTCTGTGTCTACACTGTCCAGCATCAATGGGACAGCTCAGCTGTCCAAGCTCTGTGTTACTGTCGAGAAGCCTCCGTTTGGGGGTTTTTCCTTCATAGGGGCATCAGCTCCTCCACCGAGCTGACCCACACCTGGTCCCCAGGGCCCCTGGGGGCGGTGGAGGGGACAGTGTCTGAGGGGGGCCAGCCAGTCTGGCTCACGGGGCAGCCCAGCAGGAGCTAGCTGGGCAGATACTTTGCAAATGTAGATAGAAGGTATTTGTAAAGAAAACATGTTTTTGATGCCCGGTGCCAGCTGCGGGCCCTGGGCTGAGTAGCTGGGGATGGAATCTCAGCTGGGTCCAGGGGGAGCCTCAAAGGCCCCCACCTTCACAGAGACGAGAGCCAGGCATGTCACCCGCCAGGTGAGGTGGCAGGGACTTGGCAGTGCCCGGCTACGAAGGAGCCCAGCTCTGGGGGGTTGGCATGTCTCGGCTGCAGGAGGGCACCGTCCACCTGGTGTACGGGGTCTTGGAGAAGCCTTTTGGGTCGCTGGAGGCCATCAACACGTCGGGGCTGCAGAAGGGGCTGCAGAGGGTACAGCTGCTGAAGCCCGACATCTCCGTCCCAGCCTTGCCGGCAGACAGGCGCACCATGGACATCCAAGTCCACAACTTCCTGATCCCCAGCAAGAAGACCACGTACTGGTGCCACCTCACCAAGCTTCCACAAGACTTCCCCCAGCACCACATCGTCATGGTACCTGGGGGGCAGCGGGTCTCGGGGCCTCATCCCATCTCTACCTCCCTCCTGCAGCCACAGAGGCTGCCAGAGAGATGTCCCTGACCTGGAGAGCCATCCATGGTCCAGCTTGGACACAGGGCCCTCTTCTTACCTGAATCTGAGGCACAGTCCAAATTTCCTGCAGCCACTAGCATGCTCTGATCCCCGTCCCCCTGCCCCCCTGCTCACTCCCCACCCTCCCAGTGCCCCTGTGCCCCAACTTCCTGCAGCCACTAGCATACTCGGACCCTCTGCTCATTCCCAGCACCCTTGTGCCCCAACTTCCTAGATGGGGCCAAAGGACACTGATGTTTAGACTTCTTTGTCTTTCCTTGGGACTAGAAGGGCCGTCTGTCAGGCCACATCCCCTTCCGTGAAAAAGCAGCTCAACTCACAGCTCAATTGCTCTAAACACTCAATTGCTCTAAATATAAGGCGAGAACAACAGCTGTCGGATACCCCTGTTTTCCTGGCCCTGGAAAAGGGGAGGTGGGGACTCATTCCATCTCCCCAACAGCGCGTTCACACCGTAGTATTGTCATCCCTGTTTCCAGGACAGAAAGTGCAGCCCAGAGAGGTGGTGTGAGTGCTCAAAGTCACACAGGGGTGGCCACCCGGTCCCCTGGGCTCAGGCCTAGCCTCAGGGAAGCCTCTCTGTCCTTGCCCCGGCCACGGCCACGTTCCCACGAGGACAGCTGTCTTCCTGTCCCCACCTTATTGAGAAATGGCTCCCCAGGGTCCTCACACCCTTTGCTCTGGAGCTCTTGTGGGCTTCTGGCAGATTCTGTGGGGTTCTGGGTTGGTGGTACCCCCTTCAAAGCCCCAGAAATGCCCCTGGAAATTGTCTCCCTTAACCCTCCCATTTTACAGATGGAGAAGCCGAGGCCGGGGTGGGGGGAGCCGCTGGCAGAGCCCCCTCCAGGGGGCGAGCAGGTGGGAGGGTGGGCATCAAAGGCCCCAGGCTCAGTGCCCTCCTGCCCCCGCCCCAGTACGAACCCATCATCACCAAGGGGAATGAGGCCCTGGTCCACCACATAGAGATCTTCCAGTGCACCGGCCAGTACCAGAACATCACCTCATTCAGCGGGTCCTGTGATTCCAAGGAGAAGCCCCAAGAGCTCAACTCCTGCCGCCACGTGCTGGCCGCCTGGGCCCTGGGCGCCAGGGTGCGTGTCCTATGCCCCCTCTGCAGTTTGGGGGCCCCGGCTCCTCCTCACCTGTGTCCCCTCGCCTCCAAGCAAGGGCCCCAAAAGGTGCTTGCAAAGCCACCAGAGAGGGCCCACCCCCACCTCACTCCAGCCACCACCTCACCTCACCCCCCACCTCACCCCCATCCCCACCTCACCCCACCTCCACCTCACCTCCATCCCCCCATCCCCCCATCCCCCCATCCCCCTATCCTGCCCACATCACCCTATCCCCCAACATTGTCTGTTTCACAGCTCTTGGGCCACGAAGGCTTTTCCGAGCCATTGTGGCTTTTCTGTAAAAATGCAAAATGTGAGCATAGGTACTTTGTGAGTTTTGACTTGTGTTCCCCCTGGAGTTGGCGGTTTGTGCACATAGGGGTCCCAGCTGGTGGGTGGGCGGTAGTGAGCTGCCTGTCCTCCGGAGAGCACTGTTCTAATCCCATTGCACGGCCCCCCACACCCCCCCATCCCCCATCCTGGTCTGGGAGGAGCCCCTTGGGAGACACCAGCCTGCCTGTCTGAGCTGCACCTGACACGTGTCCTGTCCCCCTCCCCCCGCAGGCATTTTACTACCCAGAGGAAGCAGGCCTTGCCTTTGGGGGCTCCGAGTCCTCCAGATTTCTCCTTCTGGAAATTCACTACCACAACCCGACGAATATCCAAGGTAGGGAGTTCTAAGTGTGCATCTGCCCCTGCTTCCATCCTCTCCTCAAGCCCTTGGGCTCAGACATGTCTGGTCTGGAAGGTGGCTGGGGTATCTGCTTGGCACTGGACTGCCGCCCCGTGGTGCAGCCTCCTCATGTGACCCACAGCAGTGCGTGTTCCTCTCCAAGGCACCAGTGGGCTCCCTGGGGCAGGGCCCAGCCCGCGGGCTCATTGTTGGACCCCAAGCAGTGGGTGACCCTGGCAGGGGGACCCCCCACACACACACCCCTGCAGCAACCCAAGGCTGGGAGAGCTCTGGCATGCAGCTCTCAGCTGCATGTGGGCACCGGCGTGTGTTCGAGGCCTGCCACCAATCTTCCTGGCATTCTTGCTGGCAAGCACCCACTGCCAGGTACCACTTCCGGAAAAGGCAGCCAGGGGCTTCTTGCATGCCCATTTGCAGATGAGGAAATTAAGGCCCAGGGGTGAAGGATCCCCCAGCTGGGCCCCAAAGGGAGTAGGCGGTGCCAGGAGATCTGGGTCTGGGCTGGCCGTGACCTCAGTCACACAGCCGTCTGGGGGTCCGAGCCATCAGGAATCACTTAGATGCCAGTTTGGTTGGAGTCCACGTGGCCCACCTTCCTCCCCACACCCCTTCCCTGCTCTGTAGTGGGGTCAACACGTCCAACGCGCTGTCCTGGTTCCCTGGGATCCCTGCTTCTGTGACTGTGCAGGAACAGGGCCCCCGGTGGGAAGGACGGCAGGTGCAGGCTGCCCCACAGCCAGCGAGGCCCCTGCCCGAGAGCCCCCGCCAATGGCCTGACCCTTGGGAGGCACTGCCTCCAGGATTATCTTTAAGTCAAAGGAAGAGCCCTAGCTCAACTGAGGGCCTTTCTGGCTGTGTACCCACCACCCTCGTCCCCCTTCTCAAAACCCATCACAACAGAGCAATTGCATGCTTGTGTTGGAGCTTCTGTATGGGATTTTCTATCCACGTGTTTTGGTGTCAGTGTTGGCAAACAGGCTGTGCTTGGGGGCTCCTCTAACTGACCCCCCGCAGGGGCCTGGGACTCCCTGTTGGAGAAGCGTTCGTTCGGGGCTGTCATTGATTAGTGAGGTCTGCCCCATGCTGCACTAGCTGCAGGATCACCCTGGGCCTGCAGGTGGACAATAAAAGTGGATCTTTAGGATGGTGATGACAGTTGATTCGGGAGCAAAAACACCAGCCTCTTCCACCACATGCGGCCACATGGCCCCTCTCCCTCTCTCTTTCTTTAAAAAGGGTGCATATTTTCATTTGTAGAAGGAAGGAGCAGAAAGTGCTCAAGAGATGAGCACGGGAGCTCCACGCTGGGCCCTAGGTGGGCCCTCTGAAGCCACGTGACACTGGCGGGGGGGACCCCCCTCCCCCACAGCAGTCCCAAGGCTGGGAGAGCTCCGGCACGCAGCTCCCAGCTGCATGTGGGCACCGGGATGTGCTCTGCCGAGGGCTGCCAACAATCTTCCTGCTGGCGGCATAACTAATACTTTCTGCCACCGTTGGAATTATCTACAGCGTGCACGGGGACGGGCATAAGTCAGCTGGGGCTTTAGCATGATAGGGGATTTATTGCTCGTTTAAAACCTGGAAGCAAATGGATTTTTGAAAACTCCTTAAACGTCAGGGAGGTCTGGCTCTCCCTGATTATCTAGTTATATTTATGGATCCTTTGCCAAATATAAGGATGCTCTGTCACTTCACGAATCTGGAGATGGGCCGCTTGGCTATAAATATCAAAATGCCACAATTATTTCATTATTTAATCCCCATCTGAATTTTAACCAATTGCATCTCCTTTTTATTATTATCCTCTGATGTAACTGGGCCCAGAGATACAGAGGCTGAGTTTGGACATTGCAGGGGTGGGGGCGGCTGGAGGAGGGAAGCGGGAAGCAGAGGCAAGAGTGGGGAGTTCTTGGCTCCACCTTGGGGCGAAGGAGCAGAGAGACCTGACACTTTCTGGACCCGTGGTCTCGAGCAGGCTCTTCAGCTCAGGCTGAGAGACTCAGTTTCCTTATCTATAAAGTGTGTGGGGGGGTGAGCCTCCAGTTACATGGGCTCCCCTGCCTGTGCCCCAGCTCCCCTGTGCATTCTGAGACCTCAGCTCTGGCCTGAAGCACTCAGGGACTTGGCAGGGGTAGACCCAGGTGACTGGCATCCACATGGTTGCGTGGCTGTGCGTGTGGCTGCCAGCATCCCTGACCTTGGCCATCAGCTTCGTGTGACTGCCCGGAGGCCTGTGCAGGGAGCTTCTGGACTCTCCAATTAGAAAAGGGCAAGAAGAACCAGCAGGTGTGGCTGGGCTGCGATGGGCAGAAGCACTATGCTCTCCTTTGGAGGAGCCCAGAGAGGGACAGTGACTTGTCTGAGAGCACACAGCATACCACTGCTGAACCAAGTGGAGTCTGGGCTGGGAGAACTGAGAGAAGGATGTGTGGTAGGTGCCTCTTGTCGACCTGAACGTGCAGATGCGCCTGCCAACCCACCTTGGCTGGGGTGGGGGGTGCTGAGACTCCCCTGCGAGACGGGGCGGCTGCGGTGTCCCGCCCTCCTGTTTGCACAGACACGTCCATGGGTTGCCCTGCAGGCGACTTCCGGTCAGATTCCCTCGAGCGAGGGGAGGAACAAGCCCTCGGAGGTATCGCCGGCTTCCCGGGTCTCCCAGACCCCCCTGCAGGCAGCTCAGCCCCACTGAGTCCACATGCTGGGTTTTAGTTACCGGCCTTATGAAGACTTTGCAAAGCATCCTCTCAGTTTTCATAGAAACAGTGGCTCCTTGTTCCCCTGTGGGTGTGCCTCAGAGCGCCTGGCACAAATAGGTGCCGGAGCAGAGGCCGCTGGCCTCGGGGGCGGGCCGCTGGTGGGAGCAGCTGTGGGGTGCCAGCCTGGCTGACACTGGGGGACTGTCTGCGGGAGCTGGAACACAGGGCTGACCTGCAGGGGTCACCTCCGCCCCCCTCTTTCTCTCCCCCAGGCCGCTATGACAACTCAGGCATCCGCCTCCACTACACGGCCAAGCTGCGGCGCTTCAACGCGGGGATCATGGAGCTGGGGCTGGTGTACACGCCCGTGATGGCCATCCCCCCGAAGGAGTCGGCCTTCGTCCTCACTGGCTACTGCACGGACAAGTGCACCCGGGCGGTGAGTGGGGCTGGACCAGACACCTCCCCTTGCTCGGCCTGGCCACCCAGCTCAGGTCCTACAGGTGGTGACCAAGGAAGGGCAGCTTCGTGGCTTTGGTCACCGCACCCCACAGTTGCACTGCGGCCCTCCCTCCCCTATGGCCATCCCCCTTTCCATGGGCCTCCTGCTCCAGCAATAGCCTGGCTCCCACCTGGTCTACACCACACGCCAGCCAGCGCTTTCTCGCGCTGCATTTTAAACTACGCTTTCATTCTGTGAGTAAAATAGACACGCACTCCCCACCAACAACACAGGCCCTGCAGCTACAGATAGAGCCCCTGTCACCTGCAGCACCCACTCCCCTGTCCCCCAGACAGCCACAGTATAAATCACTACGTGCCCTTCCTGACACGTTGTGTCCAAAAGCAAACACAATGAACAGGAAACATTTGTCCTGTGACTTGCCTTTTGGCCGCCACGCACCCTCGCCCAGCACACTTTCACCGTGAGCCAGACCGCTGAGGCGGGGGGGTGAGGCACTGTTCTCAGGGCCCTGTGACGGCAGGTGGGGTGCAGGTCGTTACATAAACCCCAGAGCAAATGATGGGGGTTCTAGCTTCCAAAGGAGCAGTACAGATTCCCCAGAGTCTGCACCTTTGGGACTCCCCTGCCCCACCCAGCCCCGCCTCTGCTGCCCTGCCCCCTAGTCGTCGCTAGTTTGCAGACCTCTGCCAACTTCTCACCTGTGGGGAGAAGGCTGCACGGAACTCCTTGTACACCAGGAAAACGCTTTATCAGGTAGATTCCAGAAACTGCTGCACACAAGAGGACAGGAGTGTCCCTTTGAATAAATCTCACAAAACACCCTCCAGAAAGCTCATCTGATACTTCTCCCCACACACAGCACCAAGCAGGTGCCGGGAGCCCCACCTCTGCCCACCCCCACCCCCTCACCACCTTATCAATATTCTAAATATTCCCTCAATTGCCTGGAAAATCATTTCACTGTTGTCCAGTTTGAATTTCCCTGATTAAATTGTAGAGATTGAGCATCTTTTCATCGTCTCTTGATGGACGTTCCTTTCTACGAATGTCTGTTCATGACCTTTGTCCGATTTTCCCTGAGGCTCTTCCCTTGTCTTGCTGTCGGCTTCTGGGGGTTCTTTTTATCTTGTGTTTGGGAATGTGCCAACACTTTTTCCCACGCTGTACCTTTGCTTCCCACAGCGCCCCGCTAGGTAAGTGCTGACACCTCCTTCTGCGGCCCAGGACCCGTGCTCGCTGGCAGGTGCCGGCGCGGAGTAGAGCACGGCCCTGCGTGACCCCTCAAGCTCTGCCCACGCCGCAGGCTGATGAGCGGAGAGTGGATGTGGCTCTCCAGTGAGCTGCCTCTCCACATGGACCTGCTCTCCCTGTGGGCTCCCCAAGTGTGCAGGCCCCCCCACCTCCATTGGGCGAGCAGACCGTCCTCGAGCTGAAGAGAGATGGAGCTATTAGCCACACAGGAGATGAGCTCCTTTTCTCTGAGGCCAGCCTCTGTGCTCTTACCCATGTCCCTATGTCATGTGACACCTCCTGCCACATGAAAGGCTCCGTGGTCCCAGCCTGGAGCTGGGGAGGGACCTCTCAGGGCGCACCTGGGAAGGTGGCCCCATGGTGCTGGGAGCCCTGGCCAGGGGAACACCTCTAGGCAGCCTGGGCTAACAGACCTGCCTCCAAATGCTTTACCAAGAGGAAAGAAAAAGAACTCGACGTCCTCTCCTCTCCTGTCAAACAGTGAGTTCTTCTTGAAAATCGCATCATGTGGAATGCTCGTTGAAGGGACAGCATGGAGTCAGGTCTTGCCTCTCCTTTAGCAGATCGCCAGGGGGCCTGCAATCGGCAATTGAAAAGCTGGCATGGTCGAGATTTCCTTGTCAAAAGGGACAATGGACGATCCCAGGACAAGTATAGTGTGTGGTGGGACCAGGGCCCCAGGGCAGCACACCTCTGTCCACTCGTCAGACACCCGCATCTTGGGGCCAGCGCCCAGCTTCCAGGGCCGTAGACAGCGAATCCCAGGGTCCCGAGAATAAGCAGAGGCCCCCAGACCCCGCTCCCCATTGTCACAGGTGTGGCTGCATGGTTTCCCAGTCCTCAAATCGTTGCAAGGGGTCCCAACATTTCTGCGACGCTGGGAGCTGGACAGCAGCGGGTGGAGGGCACGGGGGAAAGCATCCAGTGACATCAGCCGATGTGCAGAAGGCTTGGCCACCCGGGACCACTCAGTGACAGGGCCACGGTGGTGGGAGCTCCCTGAGCTGCCAACGGGGTGGATGACATGGAGCACAGCGCAGTGGTGAACAGTCAGGGAGAGACAGGTGTGAAGGAAACTCTTGAAGCGTGAGATCCACTTTAGGGAATGTTTTGTCTAAACAAAGTTCACGTGAAGTAAGGGGGAACCTCCTCTCCCCGGAAAGTCACCTTACGCCCTAATGGAGCAAGGTGTCTGTCTTGATGTGACCACTGGCCCATCTCTTGCCGGAGCCAGCTGACAGTCACCGTGGTCAGCGCCACGGCTGTAAGACAATGGAAGATCTCCTGGGGCGTGTGCAGGAGACACAAGGTCATGCCACAGGGCAGCTGAAGGGCCTGCTGGACAGGACAGCCTGGTCCCAGACCTGAGCCTGCAGAGAAGAGGTCACACTGCACTCGCCTCGGTGGCCTCTGCCCGCGGAGGGCTCCCCTTAAAGTCCGTTGAGCAAATGAAGAGTGGACTGAGCAGCCTTCGGGGGCTCCAGACTGAAGGAAGCACCCCCCACCCCCTACGAGCCTCTGGGGGCACCCGACAGGGCTGCTGCTTTGGAAGACCAGGGCTGTGACGGTGACAAGGGCTGTGACAATGACATCACTCTGTGGGCAGCTCAGTCCGTACTGAGTTTCCAGAGGGGGACTTAGCTGTCCAGGGGGAAGGACGAGGCTGGGCAATGCAGACGTTCTGGGGAAGCAAACTGGGTGTTGTATCCATGGCCTGTGGTCGGTGCCGGCAGCCTCCGCAGGAGGGCAGGAGCCAGGGTCTCCCACGTGCCAGGCTCTGATTCTGCCACCCCCTGCCCTGCAGGCCCTGCCTCCTTTAGGGATCCACATCTTTGCCTCTCAGCTCCATACACACCTGACTGGGACAAAGGTGGTCACCGTGCTGGTCCGGGATGGCCGAGAGACGGAGATCGTGAACAGGGATGACCACTACAGCCCTAACTTCCAGGTAGGGGCTGCCTGCACCCAGCTGCAGGGCTGTGGACCTGGGAACACCCCTGTGCTGGGTTCCCCTCCTGGGCCAGGCCCCGACACTCACCTGAGAGCACAGAGCCGCCAGCTCTTCCTTCCTCGGGGACTCAATCCAAGGGGAGGGACTCTGGGGGGTAGATTCCAGCATGTGGCTGATTGAAGAATTTAGTGGCCCAGGCAGCCCGATCGTAAAGTCTGTCCTGGGTGCCACCTTCTTGTTCTGATATCTTCCTGGCCAGAGGCCACGCTCGGCCAGACCTGGCTTCCCCCTCGAGCCCCCTCAAGAGCGTCCCCCTCACCCCCCGCCCCGGGAGCACAGCCCCAGAAAGCGGGGCAGGAGAGGCGGCTGGGAGCTGGATCTGCAGACCTCTGAAGTCTTCTCTCTGTCCACCCAGGAGATCCGCATGTTGAAGAATATTGTGTCTGTCAACCCGGTGAGTGCCCACTCAGGAATGGGGAGGCCGGGAGAGCCCCTCAAAGGAGAGACTGAGGGAGGTGGGGGATGACAGAGGCCATGGGCAAGGTCTTCCACGCCAGGCAGGGGCTGTGAGACTCTCCAGGACGTCACAGAGAGGCCTCCCAGGGACCCAGCAGGCAGCACCGGAGTGATGTGCATCCTCCCACTTGATCAGCCGACCACAAACCCTGAGAGCTTTAGGGAGAGACACGGGCCTGGGGGGTGTCGCTGGTGAGGCCCCTGATCATGCAGAAGGGGAACCCCAGGTCAGGTGGGGCAGGAGCTGATGATCATGCAGTTCACTCGTGGGCTGTGACATGGCCAACCAGTCTGCACAATGACTGGCCTGCCTGCCTGTGACCTGTGGGCTAAGGAGCCCCAGGAGCCAGCGAGTGATCAGTCCCTGGGGACACCCAGATTTTGGCCCGCACATGTGGGGGCCCAGAGGCCACCACGAGATTCCTCAGGAATGGACCAGTGACCACGTGCCATGGCATATGCGGTAGTTTGGTCAAATGTGGGACAGGCCCAGGGCACCTGTTACCCCCAGGTGGGCAGGAGCTGATGACCGTCTATTGGCTTGGCTCCCCAGGGGGATGTGCTCATCACTTCCTGTACATATAACACGAAAGACAAGAATGAGGCCACTGTGGTAAGTCACCCTGACTTTTCCCTGCTGCCTGCCTACAGAGTATGTGAGGCCTGACGGTGGTCCCATTCGGAGCTTCCTATGCTTTCATGAGGATGTCTTTTTTTTTTTTTTAAGATTTTATTTATTTATTCATTAGAGACATAGAGAGAGGCAGAGACACAGGCAGAGGGAGAAGCAGGCTCCCTGCGAGGAAGCCTGATGCGGGACTCGGTCCCAGGACCCCAGGATCACGCCCTGAGCTCAACCCCTGAGCCACCCAGGTGCCCCCAATGAAGACAAGTCTTGAGTCATCACCTAGCGTGTCGGTTGCTGGAGGGCAGGGGGGTGCCCTCCTTCATTCATTCAATAAACCAGCGGTTCCAGGGAGTGGTCCCTGGACCAACCGCCGTAGCAGCCCCCCTCCCCCCCCACCAGGGAACGTGGTAGACACGCAGACTCACAGGCTACATTCCAGACCTTGCGTCAGACTGTGGGTGGTGGCCCGTGGCAGCCTGTGGGTCTGTGGTCTGAGAAGCTCCCCGGGCTGTTCTGACACCTGCCTGGGTTTGAGAGCCTCTGCAGTGAGTGCATCAGCACCTGAGTGCAGATGCCAGGAAGAAGGGGGGACAACGTGGGGGTGGGACAAGGTGAGTGAGTGCCCGGCAGAGGGGAGGATGCAGGAAGGCCCCGAGGCCCCAGAACATCTTCAGATCTTCGCTCACTGTCGATAGCCAACATCCACAGGCTGCAGGGCCCCCCACCTTGACACCATCCCCTTTGAGGCTTCTCACAAAGACCAGCTGTGTGGTGGCCTCTGCTCGGCAAGGGTGTGACATGGATGCGTTTGGGCTGCGCTGTGGGTAGCCCAAGAAGAGGGTCCATTCGGGAGGCACCACGTCCTCAGGGCTAGCCCCCCAGGTGGCTGCCCACGGTCACCCAGCCGGCTTGATCTGGAGAGTGAGAGGCAGCGCTGCTAATGGCCATGCGTGGTCAGTCAGTGGGCACCAGCCTCGGCTGTCCTGGCAAAGAGACCAGTGGCTAACAGAGGCCTGCTACTCGCTCGTTAATCATTAACGACTCGCCCTATCCAAGCTGAGGGACCTCGATGCCTCCTGAGGACCCTGTGAGGCGGTGCCACCGGGAAACAGTGAGGTGGAGCCACCACAAGCCCTCAGCTAGCAGGCAGCAGGGCAGTTCCGGGCACCAAAGCCACACATGCCACCCCTCAGTACAGAGGCAGGACAGCAGGGTCTCCCCATTCTGCAGGTGAGCCCCCTGGGGCCGAGGGCGGGAGGGGAGGTGCTTGCTGCACCCCCCCGGGGGGGCCCACTCCCAGCTAGCGCCGCTCCCATGGGGGCCCTACCCCCCACTCTCCCTGCCTTATGGAGGGGAACTGGCCTCCTGTCCTGGGTGTTCAGGCCGAGTGAGCACGCCGATGTCTCAGATGCCAGGCTCTTCAGGCCGAGGCCCCAGCTGCGCCCTGCTCCCTCCTCTCAGGGACACCTGCGTGGCGGGACCCAGGCAGAGGGCAGCTGGGCAGCTCCCAACAGGCAGGCAGAGCTTCCCCACCCCCACCCCCCACCCATCTGAAAACCCTCGCACCCGAGAGAGAGAGGCCTGTGCAGTGTGATTCCCACCTCAAGATGAAGACAAAGGGACAGCTTCCGGGAGCACAGCTTTCCCGGGGTCAGGATTCTATTTTGGGTTCCGAGGTGCAGAGCCCTAAGAGGCCCCAGAACAGGAGGAGAAATGAGATCCTCCCCATCTGAGGCCGGGCTGGGCCAGGTGATATGACCTGCAGGGCCTCCGAGGGCCTGGCAAGCCAGAGGACAACGTGGGTGACACTGTCCAGTGGGGGCCACGCAGGAACCAGACAGATCTGCTCAGAGGACATTTCCCATTTAAACGGGCCATCCTTGAGCAGCGTCTACACTGGGACGGGGGCTGAGGTGAGCCCACAGCTGGGCTCTTTGCTGTCTTTCTGCTGTCAAGAGGCAGATGCTTCTCTTCTCTTGAACACTGCCGCCGGCCAAATAGCCCCCCAGACCCACACCAATGGTCACAAGGAGCTGGGAGCCCAGGATGCAGCAAAGGTGGGCCAAAGGCACCCACCCTGCACCTGCCCTGCACCCACCCTGCCCTGCTGGGGTCTGGGCTGGCTGTTGTTCTCTTGCATGGCCTCTGCCGTGCGGGGTGTCCTCCACCCAGCTCCTCCTGGGTCTAGGCTCTGAGACCAGGGCCAGGACCAGGGAATGCCCACTCCACCCCCTCCCACATGACAAAGCGCAGGGCTGCCGTGAGACCGCTGCAGTGCAGACCTCTGGCCACCATCTCCCCTCAAAGCCAGGTTCCCGTGGTGTGAGGGGAGGCCTCCCCATGCCTGGCCAGGGTTGAGAGGCTGTGCCTCTTCCCCTCCCTGGGACTCAGTTTCTGTACCCATAAAATGAGCACACTAATAACCCCCACAGCTCACCCTGTGGTCGTTTCCTTCCTCACACTGTTGCCACCTGAGACCTGTGTGTCAGCTGACTTGTTCGTTGCCTGTCTTCCCTCTGGAGGAAGACTGGATCCCATGGAGGCAGGCATTCTGCTTGCTCAGGATGCTAGCAGGCCCTGCACCATGAACGAATGCAGTGTGGGTCCTGATGGGCACCTTCCCCCTGTTGCAGGGGGGCCTGGGGACCGAGGAGGAGATGTGCGTCAACTACATCCACTACTACCCGCAGACACAGCTGGAGCTCTGCAAGAGCCATATAGACTCCTGCTTCCTGCAGAAGTATTTCCACCTGGTGAACAGGTGACAGCTCCGCGGGCGTGTGCCTGCCATGCCCTCTGTCCCCGAGGCAGGGTGGGGAGGGGGGGGCGATCAGAGGAACCCCGACATAGGAGGTGCTTGTCCCTGGGTAAAAGTGAGGAATCCAGGCTGAGTTCTGGGAGCAGCCGTGCCTCCATTTCCCTCTGAGAGCCGAGGTCAACATCGCTAATCCAGCCCCATACTCTCTTCCAACCGAGCCTGGACTTGGCCCAAGAAGCTCCCTCGGCCCAGCCCTAGAGTGGCCCTTCCCAGCCCCTGCAGGGGACTCAAGAGGTGAAGCCGACCAGCCATTGCAGGCGAGGAGCCACAGCCCAGACAGCACTTTGGTGGCATCAGGGCCAGGGAAGTGTCGCCCACAGCCACCCCACCGGCGCCGCCACAGCTGGGCTGTCTCTCCTCCCTCACCAGGTCCAACCTAGAGGAATACTGCACCTGCCCTCAGGCCTCTCGCACCACCTGCCCCCGGGCCTCCGTCCCCGAGCAGTTTGCTTCGGTTCCCTGGAACTCCTTCAGCCGAGTGGTGCTCAAGGCCCTGTATGACTTCGTCCCCGTGTCCGTGCACTGCAACAAGTCCTCAGCCGTCCGCTTCCCGGTACGCGGCTCCGTGGGTGGGTTGGGAGGCGCCCGCAGCAGCAGCAGGCCGCCCTCAGCCCTCCCAGATGCTCACCCAGCAGCAAGTCCCGCGGGTGCCTGCCCCTCTGCGCCCCCGGCCTCACCCAAGTCCCCAGCACCAAGCGACAGGGCTCCACCCCAAGGAGCCAGCGCAAAGTGCTCACTCAACACGGCTGGAGAAATCGGGTGACGGCAGACAGGCCCAGACAGACAGCCGGCCTGCAGATGGGAGAGCTGACAATACTGCCGGGCAGGCCAAGCTCCCCGCTCCTGGGCCACATCACATCACAGGGCTCATCTCGGTGGTGTGAGGGGGGGCCAGCAGCTCCCCCAGGGCCTAAACACAGAGTGCAGGGGGAGGGGCAGGTGAGAAGTCAAACAGGCTGAAGCTGTCGCTGGGCTTGTCTCTGTATCTGGGACCTGCTGGGATTCAGAGGCATCTCATTTATTCCTGAGTGAGCGAGTGAGGAGCTGCCAGTGGAGGCTGGGCTGGTGCTGAGCAGGGGGGCAGGGGACGGATCTGCAAGCCTGCTGGCCTAGAAGACACACTTCCTGCAGGCATTTGGGAGCCGGTTTACGTTCCCAGCACCAAGGGTGGGCCTGAGGCTGGCTCGCGAGGGCGACCTGGCAGGGACATCTGATGTGGTGCAAAACATGACATTTGGTGCAGCCTTGTTGGGGAGGAGGGCTAGAACTCAGCCCGCACGCAGGGGCTCTGATTGTTTTATCCGGGTGGCAATTGAAGCGAGGGGCAGGCAGGACAACACCAGGCCAGGACACCCAGGTAGCAGCTGGAGGGGAGGACAGTGAGGGCCAAGAACCCAAGAGGTCATGGGGGAAAGTAGCTGGGAAGGCAGTGCCTCGTCTCACCCCTCTGGCCTCAGTTTACCTCCTGGTCCTTTCCATACAGGGTGAATGGGATCTGCAACCCCTGCCTGAGATCATCTCCAAGCTAGAAGAGCCTACCCCTAGGTGCCCAACCAGCCGGGATCAGATCTCCTCCAGCCTCACTGTGGTCAGCATCGGTGGGGGCAAAGTTTGAGTGGGGGGCTGTCTCTCACTCCCTCATCCACGCTGTGGCTGTGGCTCACACCAGCTCCGTGCACCCCCATCCTGTGAAAACCCCTGTAGAATAGCTCTGCTGCCCAGGATGAATGGGCTGGGCCGAACCCCTGCCTGAGACCATGGTCCATTCTAGCCTCCACCTCTCAAGGACACCCCACCCCTGCAAGGCCGAGAGGGTCCCACGAGAGTTTCTTGTCAACCCACCCAGGACTGGGGTGACCCACACCTTCCCCACACCACCCTTGGTGGTCTGGAGTCCAGTGTGCCCCTCCACTGTCCCCGAAAGCCCTGCCTATCTCGCTGGGAGGGGCTGGTCCTGGGAGATGAGCCATGCCTGGCAGTGGGGCAGCCCCCTCAACGCGGCCTCCGCATCCCCAGCCCCTGCCGACGGCGATCTGTGTTGGTGTGCTGTGGGTACACGTGCTACTTAAACATCTCCCTGCAGAGTGGCTCGTTTGTCACAGTGGGCGTCTTCTCTGCCACGGAGGCAGGACCACCATTTAGCTAGTTAGAGATTTGCCTGGGGAGATTGCTCCCTTGCAGGGTAAATAGATATTTTCGCCCACCTCAAGGGAAATGCTAACAACTCTCACTGCCACTAAAAGATGAGTCGGCAAAGACCCAGACAAGGATCTGGGTGCCAGCTCTTTGGGGAAATGGAAGTACCAGCCCTGGGGCAGGGGGGTTATTTTCCTTGGCGGTGGTGGAACCTAGTGGTTAGCAGACCAGGCTCCAGAATGAGGCCTGCGTTAGAGGCACTGCTCCAACTCTTACTGGGGGTGTTAGAACATCCCCCTCCCTGACCCTCAGCTCTCTCACCTATGAAACAGGGCCTGTGCTCTCTGGGTGAAATGAGCCCATGAGGCTCATACACGGGCCAGTGCCCAGTGATGGCAGTGCAGGGTGGCACCGCCCCCACAGGAGAAAGCCTTGTCTGGGCTTTCCTTCCATGGAAGCACCTCGCGCCCCTCTGGGCTGCCTCCCATCTAAGGCCAGGCCTGGCTCCTGGATGGTTTCTGCAGGGAGTAACAGATGCAACTCTGTTCAGCCAGTTCAGCAGAAATGCTGCACGGCCTCCAGGGGAGCCAGAGGGTGATGGATGCCCCCCCCCCCCACACCCATCCTCCTGCCTCCGAAACCGTCGGCTAAGCGGCTGCCTCTCCTTCTGAGAGCCACTTCATTATAGACGCAGACAAACGGGCCCAGACGCTCCGCACTGCGTCGTATAAATCACGGCTTCCCGCGCTGTAAGTCACAGTGCATGATCGCTGTGAAATGCCAGGCCCTGACGGAGGCTGGAGAGCCCGCCAGTCCTCAGTCATCTTTATAGCTTCGGGTGACAGGTGCAGGAAAAGCCCCTCCCTGCAGGACAGGCCTTGGGAGGATGGCCCCGAGCTCACCCAGCCTCAGGCCTTCTTCATCAGGTCCAGCGAGACCCCTTCCCTCTGACAGGGACGACTGCCAGCTGGGACAAGGGTCCTGGTGAGCCCAGAGTTGTGGGAGAGGGTGCCAGGGAGACCCACAGGCCACAGTAGGCCAGCCTCCCACCCACGGAGCCCTTCCTGACCACCATCACTTTGTTCCTGAGCCCCCCCCCCCCCGCTAGGCACTTGCAGCCTTTAGTCTCCCCTAGAAGAGAAATGTCTCACCCAGGATCCCCCAAGGATTAGTGGTGATGGGGAATCACTCAGTTCCAGAAACTTCCACTGCCCACAGGGCTAGGACCCCTCCCCACACACTTCACTCACTCTCACCCTCTCAGGCTGGTCATCCTCTTGCCTCTGGGGACAGCCTGTTGTGCTCCTCCTGCAGGGACCCCTGCTCATACCCTGCCCACCCTGGCTCCCAGCACCCACAGCCCTGCCCCAGCAGGACGACTGCATCCCTGCTCCTGCTAAGAGCTGCCACTGTGAACACACTGGTTCTGGGCCAGCACGCCCAGCAGAGCCACAGCACAGCTGTTTCTGCTCCCGTTGACAGGAAGGGAAACTGAGGCATACAGACCTACAATTAGGTGCATGGTCCCATGGGGGACTCAGCAAGTGCACATGGGAGGAACCCTTTATTATCCGAAAACAACCCTCCAGGGCCAGCGCGCTACCTTGGCAAAGTCCCTCCAACAACCCTCCAGGCTCTTCTGACCTGTTGGCTGGTGAAAGAGCCAGGGTCCTGCAGGCTGCGTTCCTGTTCTCTCTGCTGTGTGGCCCCTGGGCAAGCTGCTTTCCTCCTCTGGGCCTGTCGCCCTCGCTGCCCACAGAGGGGCAGGGGCTGCTAGGGTGACGGCACCCATCAGTTGTGCAGTGCCCCAAGTCCCGGCCTGAGCTATGCTCTCCCAGGATCCACGTTGAGAGGGCCTGGGGGTGGGGCAGGTCGGCGTTCTTGTCCATAGGCTCAGAGCAAAGCAGGGGTGTCTGCCTGAGCTGGTCCCCGCGCGGCAGGGCTGTGCTGCCTGGTGACTGTTAGTCTCATGCGGCTGCTCAGGCTTAACCTTAGACGAATTAAAATGATGCAAAAGAGAACATTTGGGTTTTTCGGTCACACCTGCCACATGGGAAACGCTACACAGCTACCTGTGGCCGTGGCCACTCTGCCACCGGGCTGGGCCGCCCCAGCCTCGCTGAGCTGCGTGGGTGCGGGGAACCGGGGAACAGGTGCACCTGACAGGTGGTGGGGGGCCCAGTCTGCTAGGCCTGCACAGAGCATCTGGGCCATCGCCGGGGTGCCAGGATTTTCCATGGGGGCATTTTGGCAAGAGCCGTCTTGATGGTTAGAATCCATCACACTACGGATGGTTTGGCCCCCCTGGCCCCCCAATACCTGCACCCGATGCAAAGCATCAGCAGCACACCCCATTGTGACCAGAAGTGCCCATGGGCCTGCAAATGCCCGGCATGGACAGGCACAGAACACTCTCTGCTCCTCCCCTCCCACCGCCAGGCTGTTAAAGGGTCTCTTGGTCCCAGCCCCCACCCACCTGTCCCATCGTGCAGACAGACACACCAAGCTTCAGGGACCCCTGGGTGCTCCCACTGTCTCCACTGCAGCAAAAGACAAAGCTTCTCATTATTGCACAGCAGCCCCCTCCTTTCATCCCCTCCAGCCCTGGTAACACGCACTGAAAACCACAATCTCCCTGGGACATGCACTGTTCGTTCTATTTTCTCCCCACATACCCACCCGGCCTCACGCACACACTCCACACTTGCCTGCATTTTCAGCAGGCTCTGGGATGGAAGGCAGCCCACGATGTCCCAGGAGTCCCAGGCCAGAAACCTCTGTTTTTGTGGAAGATTCCTAACAGGGACTTGGGGAGCCTTCAAGGGAAGATTCTAGACTAGAATCCAGGAGGCCCTGGCTCCCTGCTCGGGAACTTCAGAGAGGCTGGGTCATGACCCCCTTGAAAACCCAACCTACATGGGCCCAGAATGGACCTGGGAGTATCATGACTGCCCCCAAGGTGGGTCCCCTGTCCCTCGTCCCCTTTGTCCCTCTGGTCCTGGGTCTTCTGCTGCTGCCACCCCCCTCTCCTTCCTCCAGTCTGACATACTCATCCGGTCCCAGCTGTGGAGCAGGCCCTAGGGTAGCCTAGGCGCTGGGATTAGACCCGGTTGGTCCTCCTACCTGCATTCCAGCCAGGGAGGAGACACCCAGCCAACATGTACTTGAGAAACACACAGTATGTGGATGGTGGCGAGCAGCGAGTAGATCAGGAGAGGGAGCAGGGTGCCCAGGTGGCCAGTAGGAACTGTCTTGTTGACAAAGGAGAAAGTGACCTGAAGGACCTGAGGAGGGGAGTCCCATGGATGTCAGAGAGGATCTTCTGGAACAGGGAAGGGCCGTGCAAAGGGCCTGAGGCACCAGCAAGGAATAGGGAGGAGACCAGTGTGGCTGAGCAGAGTGGGCAAGGGTGATGGGAGGACAAGCATGAGGCTGGAGAGGCCATGGTGGGGAGGCCATAGCCCACAGAGGCTGGCACAATAACCAGGGGCAGGGGGTGGTGATGTGGCCCAGGGAGGTAGCCATGGAGGCGGGTGACAGGGTGCCAGATGCCCTGACATGCTCTGTCTTCCCGCCCTCTGTCCTTGGCCCAGCACCTTTGCCTCTGTTTGGGGACCTTTGCCCTCTGTCCTTCTCCCAAGTCAGGAATGGAGGCTTTGTCCTGGACTTTGCTCCTGCTCCTTCCTCATCTGACAGACAGGGTCTCTTCTGGGTGGGGGAGAGGAGGGGGGAGAGAGGAGGAGGGGGACAGGAAGGAGGGAGGTAAGGGGAAGGGATGAGGAGGAGGACAAAGGAGGGCAGAAAAGAAGGGGGAGGGGAGGAGGGGAGGAGGGAGAAGGGGGAGGGAGAGGAGGGGGATGAGGAAGAGGGGATGGGGGAGGGCCGCCCAAGGTAGAGGCTTAGGGCCCAAGGTGGCAGAGCTAGGGGGGGCCTGGGTGCTCATGCAGAGTGACCTGGGTGACCTGGTCAGAGAGGGCTCCCAAGTTCACCCCCATTTACAGGGTTAGCACGTCTGCAGGGGGAGCCTCGGGCTGTAAGCATTTAACCAGGGAGCCCGCAGAACAGAGGTGAGAGCGTGGGGCATGTGCTGAGCCGCTGTGCTGGGGCTCCATTGGGGAATCAGGGGGATGGTGGGCACCCCCCTTCCCGCTGGGTGGAGCTGCTGGCTGCCGCCCTGCCTGATGGCACCCCGGCAGTTGGTGGCCAAGCTCCACCCGGCCCTTCCCGGCCACCAGCATCTGTTCCTCCTCAGGACTTTTCCTGTTCCTCCTCAGGACTTTTCCCCATTTTCTCCCTTTTGTGAACTCTGGGCAAGGGACTCTCAGAGGAGTCAGGACCTTACGGGGTCCTAAGGGTCTCCCGCTGGGGGCATCCCCAGGCTGAGGCAAAGCACAGAGTAGTATGACTCTGCCCCCCACTCCCCTTTGCAAACCAAACAGCTGAGGCTCAGGTGAGGTAGGACACTGGGTCTCGTGGCAGGTCAGGCCCACCCCAGGACCTTAACATATGATGGACTTGTTGTCTACGACCACTTCTGGTGTGTTTCTAGTGCCACTCTTCCCCTGACGCTTCCATTGTCCCTTCTGTCTGCCACGCTGGAGGGAGGAGGGCACGTGGCAGCTCCTGGCATGTGAGGCATCTGGGAAAGGAAGGAGCAGGGATTCACCTGTGCTTTCTCCCTCCAGGGCCCTTGGTCGGTCCTTACTGGGGAGGCAGGCACCTCGTCCCTGCCAGCCGGGCTCCTCCCCACTTACCCCTGGAAGAAGAGAAGCAGCGTGCCGGCTGCTCTGGTGCAAATGCCCGTGCTGTGTGCAGGGACCAGGGCCCCGAGTGGTCTCTGACAGTGCAGGACAGCCCACTGCATAGACAGGACCCTGCCCTCCAGAGGGGCAGGGTGCCCCCTGTGCCCTCTGAGCCCCAGGGACTGCCGAGGCCAGCACACAGGCTGAGTCTGAGGGCATGGGGGCCTCCTCTCTGCTTGTCTGACCCCAAGCCAAGCTCAGCCCAGCTTGCCCAGAGTTCCCGACGGGCAGCGCTCGGGCACCGTGAGGGTCACAGGGCTGCTTGTCCAGTAAAACCTTCAAGATCATGCAGGGCAACAGGTGACCAGATGGAGGGCAAGGAGGGAACTGACCTGGGGGCACTGGGAGGGGATGGTGATGGGGCCGTTCCTAAGCCACCAAGACAGCACACCTGGGGCCTCGGCCACCTGGACCTTCCTGGAGCTGGAGGATGCAGCAGGAGAGCTTGGGAGGTGGCTCACAGCCTCTCCCACGTGGTGACCTGCTGCCCCTTCCTAGGGACCGGGGCTATTTCTCCCCAGCACAGGGACATGCACAATGACAGCAATGGCCCAGCCCAGGAGGCAGGGGTAGGACTGCAACCTGGGTCTGCCCCCCATGCACACCCTCAGCCTCTGCCCACCCGGGACAGGCTGTTGGGGGACCGGGGGTACACAGGTGCCGGCCCAATCCAGGGCTCTGGGGCCAAACCACAGAGCCTGGGGAAGTGGGCCAAGGCTTTCTGGGAAGCTGTCTCCCCACCCCTCCATTTCTGGCCCCTCGAGGTCCACTTGGCTTCCCCCAGACTCTCTCGGGCAGGAGCCAGCCTTGCCTGTGGGCAGCAGGAAAGGCTGCAGGTGCTCCACTGCCTGAGGCATGTCAAAGCCAGGGGCCCAAGCTCCCCAACCTGCGGTCTGGCGAGGGGGCCAGAAAGCGTTCCAAAGGCCATCTGAAACCCAAACGTCTTCCCACGACTTTGACTTTATGAGCCTGACCGGTTCCAGCTCAGTCTGCAGTAGGGCTGTGTGGTATGTGAGCATCTGACAGCAGCCGGGGCCCACTGCGGACTGCCCGCAGCCGCCCCCCACGCTGTTTCTTGTGTGTGTCCGCAGGAACCCTGTCCTCCCTGTCCCCTGCTCCCCAAAGGTTCAGGCATACTTGGGCAGGGACATCCTGCTGGTGTGAGTCCAGAAGGTGGAAGGGAGGGGGACCTGGGACCTGGGCGTGGAGCAGGAGGGACACCCACTCCAGCCAGGGAGGCAGGGACGAGGCTCACACAGGTCAATGTTAGTGAGTTCTGGCGGCCCAGAGAAGGGGAGCAAGGCAGTCACCCCCTTTGGAAGACCCTGTACACAGTCCTCCCCAGGGCCGCAAGACAAGAGAGTCAGCACGGGAGCTGGGTCCCAGTCAAATAGCAAGAATGGAGGCCACAAGGCATGAGGATCCCGTCAAGTTCTTAGCCAGCAGCACGCCCTCCTTACAGGCCCAGTGAATGAGGCACCCTTGGGGAAATCAAGGCACTGGGTGGGGCCCTATGTGGCTGAGGAGGGCACCCAAGTGATGCCCCTCCCACCCCTGGCTTCTGCTCCCCTGTGATGGTCAAAAGGCTTTCCCATGTGAAAAGCAGGTCAAGGCAGGAAGAGCTTGCTTTCTAGATTTGTCCCGGCTGCCAGCATCTGGGACACGGCCCGACGGCAGCCACCAAGCCACGCTGGCACGTCTGCTCCTGCTTCCAACACTGTGCTCATGGCAGACAGCACCAGTCGGGCCTCACGCGGTCGCCAGCTCTGGATGCACCTGGGAACTCTCCGGTGGCGCTCCAGGCAGTCCGCCCGCCAGGAAGGCCGGGACGGCAGGTGAATCTCTGCCCCCTGCATCCACCCTGGGCTCACCAAGGGTTGACCGAGCATCTTCTCAGAGGCTGGTAGCAGGCCACACGCCGCGCTCCCTGCGTGCTCCCTGCGCCCAAGGCCTTACAGGTTTGCTCTGGGGGGAGGGGGGAGGGGGGAGGGGGAGGGGTGGGCCCTCTGGGTCTTGTGGCCACTCGGTTTGTGCCTGTTTGGGGGGTTAGCGGGCCCATGGTCTGGTTGGGGTCCAGGTCCCGGGTCAGGGTGCCGGGCCCCGTGCGGATGGTCAGCAAGGGACGGAGTGGGTCTCAACCTCCCGGCCAGCTGAGACTCCGCCCCATGGGCACATCAGTAGATTCCCTTCACCCTCTTGTTGTCAGGGTCGAAGGGAGACCTCAGGTGAGCCTGGGCAGGGTAGGTCACCCCCATCCTCTCCAGAGCATAGTCCCCACTCTTCACAAAGTCCAGCGAGACCTGTTATAGAAGAAGAGGGTATGCAGGTCACTCATTATCTGGTGGCTGCTGGGCTCGTGCCCACCTGCTTCCAAAGGGGAGGCTCAGCCTTACTTCCTCCTCATGAGCAAACCCTTCTCTGTGCCAAGAGCCTCCTCTGAACTGGGGAGCTGCCCTGAGTGGGTAGGTTCCCTGACGTGGACTTGCCTGCCTGGGGCCCAGCAGAGCTGGGGTTTCTCCCCCAGGGCCGTATACCTCCGGTTCCTGAAACTTCTAATCCCTGGGAAACCCGGGAGCAGTACACAGCCCATGTGCTGGACCCCTGGCATGCTGGCCCCGCTCAGGGACCCTACTCTCAGCACAGAGCCCACACCCAGGGCCCAGGTTCCCCAGGACCCCCAGGGTGGGAGCCGCTATGCCCTGACCCCTCCCCAGGCCTATATGCCAGGCCCAGCTCATCCCTTGCACCCTGCCTGGGCTCACATCCACACCCTGCCTCCTCCTTCTCGCTGACCCTCCCAGGTGGCTCTCCCTCTGGAGTCTCTATTGGGGACAGGTAGGGGGATGCAGCCTGAGTTCTTGGAGAGAACCAGAAAGCTCAGCGCCAGCTGAATGGGCGCCCTGGCCCCTGCAGTCCGAGCATTTGAGGGCCCCAGTTTCCCAGCTATTACGGGGCTCATGGGGCACACTCAGGGAAGTGAGCAGGTTTGGCCATAAAGGTACTTTGACTCCAGCTCCTCCTGCTCTGCTCTCACACCACCTGGCCTGGCCCATGCCACCTGACCTCCTCTCCCACCCCTGCCCCCTCACCCCTGTGACCAGCTGGCCTGGCAAGAGCTTCCAGCCATCTGGGACTCCGACCCCTGCCGGGCCTCGAAGGGCCCTTTCTCTGCCCCTGCTCCCCAACCGGGTGTGGAGGGAGGAACCAGGCTCAGTGGGGGGTTATTCCGGCTTATAAAGGGTCACGTGGCAGGATGTGCATGTGCCTGCACATGCATCTGTGCATGCCTACACACGTGTGCATACAGGCGTGTGCACTGATGCGTGTGCCCGCCATGCCTGGGATGCCTCTGGGATGAAGGTAGGAAAGAGAAGACGATGGTCCTAGAGGACCCAAACCCTGCCTCTGCTCACCCCAGCGTCTACCCCAGGCTGGAGGTCTGTGTCTGGCTGTAGGAGCCGAAGTCCCTGGCCTAGAGACTTTCAGACCAACAGAATCCTGGAGATCCCAAAGTTAGATTCTTCCAGACAGAAAACACAGAAAGTGCTCCCGACCCAGAGATGTGGCCCCATGAGCAGTGACCCCGGGCACCCCCGCCCAGGTGCTGCAGGGGTGTGTGTGGCACAGAGGTGCTAGCGCGGCGCCCAGCGAGGAACCGGGCTCTCCTTGGCAGAGATAGGGGACAGGACTCACCGGCCCGCCACTGGGGTCCCGGATGTAGCCATAGGCAAGGGTTTTGTCAATGAAGAACCCAAAGTCAGCTCTCCGGATGTGGCCTACCACCTGGCCGTTCCTCCAGATGGCCTCTAGGCCAAACATGGGCACTTTTCTGGAAAAAGCAAGACAGATGGCTGCTGGGGCCCTGGAGTTCCAGAGGGGTGCTGCGCCACACCCGCCCACGACCCCAGGGCCAGCTCGGCGCCCCGGAGATGCCAGCGCACAGGCTCCTGGCCCTGGACGACCGAGTAGAAAAGACGGGAACGGGCCCTGCCCCCGAGTCTGCAGACAGGCCTTGGTATTCCGGGAATTGGGGAAGGCCCACCTTCCACTGGTTTCCCCCGACTTCTGAACAATGTAAAACCTTATGCCCTTAGGCCTGCTTTCCTCCGCCTCCGGGCTCTCTTTTCACAGTACGACGCATAATCTCGCAAAAGTCCTTTTCTTTAGAACATAAGGTATGAGTGCTGACTATAAAGTCTTTGAAAATTCAGAACAGAAAACACAGATTAACCTGTAGTCACCGCAGCGCCACCCCCGTAAGTAACCGGTGAGTCTGGACGTGGATCTTTTCCGACTCGGCCCTCCAGGGGCCTCGTTCGTGGTGTGTAGGGAGAGCCTGACGGGTGCCCAGGGCCACACCAGGTACAGCCCCACGTGCCCCCCAGGAGAGGGACGAGCCCAGGGGAGCCAGGCTGGGTCCTCTGATGCTGATGTGGCTGTGTGGATCCCGCCCTGAGCTGAGGTGTGTGGACAGGGTCTGGGGGCCTCTGTGACGTCTGAGAGAAGACGGTGGGACAGATGGATGTTCCACGGCACACCCCTGCTCTTTCATTCACCCTCGTCCTGCAGGCTACATGCTGTTTACAGGCGAGGAAACAGGCTCGGGGAGGCCACCAGCCTGGCCCACCACAGAGAGCAGAGGGGCAGCTCCTAGCGGCTCCACAGCTGGCACCTTGGCTGTGACCTTCCTCGGGATGGAGACCATCCATAGCCTCAGCACCGGGTGGATTTGGCAGCCCAGCAGAGAACCCTTGGGTGGGGTGAGCCAGGCTGTGACAGGTGCTGTCCGAGGCTGTTCCTAGAGCCTGGCATCAGGCTGCAGGTGCTTTCTGGCGGGCCGGGGGTGGAGGAGCTCCGCAGACCCCTTTTCCGTCTGCGTCCCCAAACTGGAGCTAAGCTGCTCCCCAGGAGGTAGACAAGCTGCACGCGGAAGGCCAGCCTGACAGGAGCCTGGGGAGAAGCAGCAGGACGATGACAAGCCACAGCTCCACTCCCTTTCTGCCTCCCCCCTCTCCTCCCTGTAGCTCTTGACACTTCTTTTGATGGCTCCAGAAATCTGGGAGAAGTGGCTCCACTTGCGGCTGCCTGTCAGCAGCAGATCAATAAGGCCCGGCCGCCACCGTCCTGGAGATTCTTGCTACTTGGAGTCCTGCGGAGCCACGGAGGTGCTGACTGCAGCCTGGTACTGTCATTTCAGAGTAGCTGGTCCCAAGTGGAAACCAGGGACAGCAGGGGCCCAGCTCCTGAGGACAGAGCTGAGTGGACAGAGCTGAGCTACCCTGTCCCCTGGCACCTGAGGTCTTCAGCTGGAAGTGGGGATGGTGGCCCCAGCCCAGGGCGTGGGGAGGACTGCACCAGAACACAGTGGGAGGTCACAGTGACTGGGAAGCCAGACCCTCAGTGTAGATGTACCCGCAGGGAGGTGGCTTAGAGGCACACCTTTCTCTTTCAAAAGCTATGTTTGAGGAGGGTGTGCCCTCGCTGCATCTCCTGGGGCCTTGCTGACCCTGCCCTACCAGACGGATACAGGACATTGGGATACTCACTCATCCACCGTGAAGCACACCAGGCGCCGGGGGAGGCCGTGGGCCCACTGTTTCTCCAGGGCCTCCCGCCCCAGGAAGGGGACAGCTGACTTGAGCTTGCAGGTGAAGGCCAAGCCTGCCTCCAGGGGACTGTCATCTGGGCGCAGGTCAGCATGCCAGTGCCGGTAGCCTGTGGGGAGGAGAACCCGGGCTCAACACCCAGCAGAGGTGGGGGACAGGCTCATCCGAAGACCCCAGGGGTGTGTGTCATTCTTGCTGCCAAAGGTCCCCTGGGCAAGCCCTCAGGAACAGATGCCCCTTCCGACTTCTGCACTGCCCGTTGAAGCGCTGGAGAGGCACCTGGGCAGCACTGCCCAGATATTCTTCAAACCTCCTGGGTAAGCCCAAGCATTGAGTCCAAATTCAGCTCCACAAGGCCAGGTAAGCACCTGCCCCCCTTGCCCTCCAAGCACAGGTGCCAGAGACCCCCAGTGCCATCCCCAGGACTGTGGGGCAGTTCATGGGCAGGGCAGGAAGGGTGTTGGGGGGTGTCGGCTGGGGAGGAAGACACGGAGGGGTAGAGGGGAGGCAGAGAGGGGCTGGAAAGAAGTGCAGGGGGCGGCAGCTGCCCTGCCTGCAGCATGGCTCTGGGCACCGTGTGGCTCCTGCATATACCTTTCTCAATGCTCAGGGAGTCGATGGCCCGGTACCCAGCGTTGACAAGGCCGTGCTTGGTGCCTGCGGTCATCACAGCCTGGTACACAGGCACACAGGCCGACCTGGGCACATGCAGCTCCCAGCCCAGCTCCCCGACGAAGGAGAGCCTCATGGCCCGCACCTGGAAGGACAGGGCAGTGCTCAGACCTGGGCCCGGGTCAGGAGACCCAGGTCAAGGCCCAGCTGCCACTCACTGGTGGACACTGCCTACTGTCACCATTCTCCTTAGCTGGCCCTGGGCCCAGGCCGGCCTGCCACCAAGAAGTGGGGTCTCCGAGGACAGAGTTCCAGGCTCTGGAAATCCTTAAGAGCACTTGACGGGATGAGCACTGAGTGTTATACTATATGTTGCAAATTGAACTTCAAAAAATATATATATATATATTTTAAAAAATATATATTTATATTTTAAAAAGAAATCTGTAAGGGGAAGAATAAGGAGTGTCAATGCTAGGAGTGTGAGAAAGTAGACACATGGTGCCCAGGCCTCAACTCTTCTAGGTCTCTGTGTGAGTGAGTGTCCTGGGGTGGCCATACCAGATGGGGGCTTCAAACAGCAGAAAGGTATTGTCTCCCAATTCTGGAGGCTCAAAGCCCCACATTACGGTGTCAGCAAGCTCTAGGAGAGGGTCCCTCCTGCCTCTCCCAGCTTCTGGTGGCTGCAGGTGCTCCTTGGCTGGTGGTCACACCCCTCTGATCTCTGTTACATGGCTTCTGCTCTGTGTCTGTGTCTCCTCTACTTTGGTCATCAGGACACTTGCCATTGGAGTTGGGATCCACCCTGATCCTGGATGATCCCATTTTAAGATTCTTATGTTAATCTCATCTGCAAAGATGCAATTTCCAACTAAGGCCATGTTCACGGGTTCTGGACGGGGGGCCAAGATGCAGACATCTGTTTTGGAGGCCACCATTCAATCACCACTTTGGTGAGTGTCCCGGACTCCCTCCGGCCTCAACTTCCTCACCTGTAAATGGGGTCAGGAGCCTGGCCTTGTCTGTTTTAAGAAGCGCTGAGGATGTGGGTGAAGGAGTTGGGGGGAGGACGGTGGCTCAGCTCATGGCTCACCATGGCTGCACCCGAGAGGGGTGCAGAGGTACCAGGAGGGGAAGCAGACAGGCGCTGGGTTGTCCTTGTGACTGCTCCCCAGCCTGGTCAGCCTCGGGCCCCAGGACCCGAGTCTTAGAAGGACCTGGCCAGAAGCACAAGCCAGTTCTAGGGCAACCACGCCCAGAGTGTGCAAGTGCTGGGAAGGAAGGCCCCTGTCTGGGAGGCACAGGCCCGGCTGGAAGGTTAGCAGAGTTGGAGGCTGCAGAAAGTCCTTCCGGGGGAGCAGGGTCCAGGGTGCAGAGCTGGAGCAGGTGAGTTCCCCAGGACACCTGCTCACACAGTGACTTAGAAGAGTTGAGGCCTGGGAACCACATGTCTACCTCCCTGCCCTGGGAGGGTGGGACAGAAAGATGTGCCATGGGGTTGGAAGGACCTTGCCACTAGGCTGCAGATGTTTGTCAGTCATTTGAGTGAGAGCTGGGTGGGCCCCCCAACCCCATGGAGAAGACAGTACTGTTCACACAGTGTCCCTGGGCAAAGTTCTCACACATTACGTCACTGGAGCCCTTCTCAGCCCCACACAATGGTGGGGACTGAAGTAAACAATATCCAGGGGACAACACAAAAGCAGAGGCGCCATGCAGAGCCTGAGCACACACATCTCGGATGGGGCAGCGGGTCTCTCTGTACGTGTGGCGGGCACACCTGTGTACTGGGCTAGCAGCACCACAGAGGCCACAAGCAGCAGGGGGCACAACTCCCTGGCCAATGGCCGATGGCTGGTGGCCGGGGACTTGTCCCGCTGAGTTGGTTTGCTTGCCTGTTGTTTCCAGACCCAGCTACAGGTGTCTGCTTCCTGGCCTTTGGGCAAATCCTGAAGCCCACTGTGTTCCCACAGGTGAGGTCAGCCCCAGGACTGCCCTGGTCACAAAAGGGACAAGGAGAGCACAGCAAGATGCAGAGCTCATGGAGACAGAAGCGCTTACCCCATCACTGCCATGAGTGGAAAGCCCACCTGTGCAGCTCTGGCCGGGATCCTGTCTACACAGGAGGGAGTGGAGGCTACTCTCCCGAACATTGACCCAGCTCCTTATAAACCTGACACTTTAATCACATTGCTGCTGAGGGGCTGGATTCTGAAAGCTTTTGAAACAGTGAACATTTGCTCTGAGTTGCCATTTGCCCAGGCCTCTCAGAAAACTCAAAATTGACACAGAAAATGTACTGTTGACATTTCCCTGCTTCCCTAGTGCAAGCCGTGGGCCCCTGACAAAGATTGCCTTGTCAACGGGGTTCTAATTTTAGACAGCCCACGGAGGAGCTTGGGGCTCAAAGCCAATCTCGCTTTGAAAAAGGGAAAATCATTTTTAAAGCTCTCCCACTAATGGCCAAGGATGGCAGGTTCATGTCAGACATACATGCTCCCAGTTAAGTGAGAGGGTCAGGCACTGGGGCTCAGCTTGAATTCACTGGTGGGATAGAGCTACCCCAGGCCCTCCTGCAGCTCCTAGGAGTCCCAAAAGGCCAGGGGCTGGCCAGCCTGGCTTTCCACTGCACCCTTGCGCTCGGGCCCAGCACACAGTAGGTGCTAAAGAAATACTTCTTGAATGATGGAAGGAAACAGGGGCGGATAGACCTCTGCTTCTGGCAAAATGAGGGAAAGTCTGGGGAACTCCAGGTGCCTTCCTAAATTCACAGGATTATTGGTTCTCGAGATATCCTGCATTTGTCTCCACTAAAGCAGTAGAGTTAGGGGAGTCCTCATTTCCTCTGGGCAGGGACATGTAGTAAAAGTGGAGAGCTGAGAATGAGGATACCCCATGTGGTCAACCTCTCCCCGCCTCCATGCCCCCATCCGATAGACAGAGGAGGCCAGTGCTTCTGCTCCTCAAGTTCATGGGAAACATGGCTCCTGGTACACAGTCATCTGCCAGTAAAGACTGCATTGGATTGATCTTAAAAGCAAGCCCCGAACTGAAGCAAATTCCCTTGCAAAACAAGAGCCCCACTCTCTTACAGGAACCACAGGCTCTGGATGGAGTCACAAAATCATGGAAGGTCATCAGGAAGGGCCTTAAAGGGGTTTTATTTAAGGCCTCTTCTCACCCTAAAGACACCCCGCCCCCCGCCAGATACTGTTGGAATTAATAAACACATTCAACGAGGTTGCAGGATACAAAATCAACATGCAAAATTCAATGGCATTCTTCTACCTTAACGAGGAAATATCCAAAAAGGACATTTTTTTCAAAATTCCATTTATGATAGCATCAAAAGGAATAAAATACTTAAAAGTAAACCAAACTATGGAGGTGAAAGACTCCTACAAAACTTTGCTGAAAGAAATGAAAGATGATACAAGTAAATGGAATGACATCCTTTGTTCACACATCAGAAGACAGTATCATTAAGATATCAATACCACCCAAAGTGATCGGCAGATTCAACGTATCCTTCTCAAAATCCCAGGTACTTTTTGCAGAAATAGGAAAATGCATTCCAGCATTCACAGGGGATCTTAAGGGACCTCAAATAGCCAAAAGGATCTTGAAGAAGGCTGCAGGACTCTCAGTTTCTGACCTCATAACTTACTACGAAGCTTCCGTAATCAAAATAGTGTGATACTGGCATAAAAGCAGACACATAAACCAGTGGAATAAGAAAGAGAGCCCAGAAATAAGCCTTCATGGATATATGGTCAAGTCATCTTCAACAAGGCTGCTGAAACCACTCAACAGGGGAAGAAACAGTCTCTTCAACACATGGTGTTGGGGAAACTGGATATCCACCTGCAAAAGAATGAAAATGGACCCTGATCTTGCCTAATATACAAATTTTAACCTAAAATGGATTAAAGACCTAAGTGTAAGTCCTAAAACTATAATACTTCCAGGAGAAAACGGGAAATCTTCACGACACCCGACTTGGAGATGACCTCTTGAATATGACACTAACGGTACAGGCAGCAAAAAGCAACATTAGTCACATGGGACTACATCAAACGTGAAAACTTCTGTGCATCAGAGGAAACTGCCAACAGTGAAAAGGCACCCAACTGAGTAGGAGAAAATATCTATGAATCATATATCTGATAAGGGGTTAATATCAAGAATACATAAAGAACTCCTACAACTCAACCCCAAACGAAACAAATAACCTGACTAAAAAATGAGCAAAGGACTCGAATTGGTATTTTTTCCAAAGAGGATACTCAGATGACCAACAATTATAACTCGCAAGGATGGTCATTATCCCTAATCATTAGAGAAATGCAAATCACTACCACAATGAGATACGAGCTCACACCCACTAGGATGGCTGCCATAAAACGAAATAAAATAAACCAGAAACTAAGCAGTGTTAGCAGGGATGTGGATAAAGCTGAACCTGTAGGCACAGCTGGTGTAACTGCTAGGGAAAACGGTACAGAGATTCCTCGAAAAATGAAAAATAGAATGGCCACACGTCCAGCAATTCAACTTCTGGGTAGATGCCCAAAATGACTGAAAGGAAGATCTGGAAATGTTTGCACACGCATGTTCCCAGCAGCGTTATTCACAATAGCTAAGAAGTTGAAGCAACCCAAGTATTGGCTGACAGATGAATAGATAAATAAAGTGGGGTCTGTCCATACAATGGGATGTTATTCGACTATTAAAAGGAAGGAGATCCTGATACCTGCTACAACATGCACAGACCTTGAGGACAAGAGGCTGAGTGAAATAAGCCAAACACAGAGATGAACCCTACATGATTTCATTTTCATGGAATTAAATTAGTCAAACTCATAAGAGACAGAAAGCACATGGTGGTTACCAGGGGCTGGGGGAAGGACAAATGGGGGTTGTTACGGAGCATAGGGTTGCCGTTCTGCAAGACGAAAAATTTCTGGAAATCTTTTTGCACAACAATGTGAACCCAGTAAACACTACTGAAGTACATGCTTAAAAAAGGTTGAGATGATAAAAACAGAACACCCTTTTCTCCATGGATGGGCGCCTAAAGCCTCGAGGGACTCGGTGATTTGCACTTTCTTGATGTTCTCGGTGCCAGGAGCAAGGGGGGCGGGC